TGTTCATATCTTGATTTATAACCGTCTAGAACTTGCTCGGAAAAGAAAATAGGTCTACGGGCTAAAATAAATTCTCTCTCCCATCAGTCGGTACTATTAAAAGTAATAAAATAGCTCTTTATTTATTTGATGAGAAATGTGAAACGAAATACCGCTTTAGTTAGATTATCCAAGGACATAACAAGAAACACCACATAAGCAACTATTATGTAAGAAGCACAATCCAAAAACAGTGTACTTATAAGTTTGGGCACAGGTGACCATGCATTGCCCTATTTGGCAATTCACCATTTTTATTCCCACCTAGCAAAGCATTCCCATGCATTTCCTCTCAAAATTCCTCCAGTTTGCCAAAATAAAACAAGGAAATAAAAAACAGATTGAATAGGGATATGTGATATTCACGGTGATAGGATCAGACTTTGCTAAAAGACTCTCTCTCTTGTAAAGATATAAAGACTATCTTTTTATCAAGATTATTGCTCATATTATTTCACACTTTTTCATTAGATCCGAGAATATTTCGAATGTTCTAAAATCTGTCTGTCACTCATCATTGTCAGGAGGAATAATCACCTAGCTCATTGTTTATTGGGTGAAACACTCCTCCTATTTACTTAAATGTCATTTATTGCTATTTATTATGAGTTACTCTTCCATTATTGCTCATACTTTATGACTATTTAATGTTTGTTATTGTCAACCCCTTATTGGATCTATCCTACCTTATATACGTTTTCAAGATTCACATCTAGAGATATTGTCATTAACTAGGTTTAACCCGCTATTACATAAATATAATAGTCAAACATTACTATTGCCAGGAGATGGTAATCAAAAACAAAAAATCAACTAATTGAAAGGAAAACAAGAAAAAGAGAGACGGGTTGAATCTTGCTCTTCTCTTGCACTGGGTTAGCATCTTTTTGTTAAGCGGCAAGAAAAGGCCGACCCCAACTTGTTGAAATTAAAATACAATTACTTTTGCTGTTGTAGCAATTAATGCTTCATAAGAATGCTTCATATAAATCATTAAAGAAATTTATACTTTATCCAAGCTAAGTAAGAAAAGCTCAAAATTAGAGTTGTAATCTAGTGATTGTAGTATCAATTTTTCAACTGGCACTATTTAAGTTTACAGTTTCTATCCTGCTTAAGTGAATGATACATACCACAAGATGCATAACTGAGCAGAAGAAAGCATAGAAGAGCAAGAATGGAAATCAGCTTCATTTTGTTATTTTGTTGGGCTTGGGAAAATTGATAAGGAACTTTCACTTAAAAGAAATCAAATTTTAATTGGTCTTCAAATGCTTTAGTTTGGATTTTGTTACTACTTAAAGTAAAAATAGCACGGGCTAGCCAGTTTTCGGATTGGTAATTGAAAATTAATCAGCATTTGCAAAGTCATTGAAAAATAGCCACTATTTTGCTGCAACACGGACCGGTCCATCTGAACTTCCAACATATTATGCTGGAACTCTAACACGTGAAAAGTTTCAGCATAATATAATGGAGATTGGAGCACTTGTGTATGAACTTCCAGCATATTATGCTGGACCGGTATATTATACTGGAATTTCAGTATATTATGCTGAAATATTTTCCGGATTTTGAACAGTGTTTTCGTTCAGATTTATCGTTACATGAAAAATGGCTAAATTTCGATTACTTTCGAAACTGTGGCTATTTTTCAATTACCACTTGTAAATCTGACTATTTTGAATTTCTCCCCTACTTAAAAGCTAGAATAAATCAGATATTCGACCCTTGTTGGGCCTGACGGGCCTAGTCCCAGTGATGGCACCATCATTATACCCAGTAGCCAGTTTTAGGACCAGTTGTTGAAACATAACCAGCTTTGTACAATGTATTTGAAAAATAGCCATAATATAAAAACAATGTATTTGATAAATAGCCACAATATAAAAAACAATGCATTTGAGAAATAGCCACAATATAAAAAGGCGGCAAGGATCAGGTCCTTCGCTTTTTTTGTGAGTTTCATGACATTATCCTCGAGTTCGAAACTTTATATGTAAAACTCTAGCACACTCTGATGAAGTTCGAAGTTTTCTGTATCTGGAACTTCAACATAGTGCAAAAAGTCCCTAAAAGATACTGATCAATCTGAAACTAAAAAATTGATTGAAATAATTGTAATTTTAAACGATTAAAATTTATTTAATATAAGAAAAATTACTAATGTTTAAAATCTGAGTAGTAACCAGTAAGTGAAATTCATAGTTTTGAAAGTTGAGCAATATGAATTAATACTATGCCAATAGAACCTTCTAATGCTACCAAATCCAAGGTTGAGATAATTAGGGTCTCCGCAACTTCACGTTGGATTTGGTTCAATTTTCATCAAAATGTGGGGTTATTTCCTAACATTTTTCTGATACATTGAAAATATTAAATAAACTTGAAATTTGTCTAAGCTACATTGCTCAAATCTATGAGGGGAAAAAACTCCATATGTTTAAGCACTTCTTCTTAAATTAGCAAAATATTTTCCATTATGACCTTTATTTGTTAGAAATTCTGCATATATTAGTAATGTAATTAGTATTCATACCCGCACGTTGCGCGGAGAATATTAAATATAATTTTTTTCATAAAAAATATTATTTGAAAAATACAACACACACAAAGAATCATGTAAATAATACAATATTATTTTATGAACATGTTAATACACTGGATATTCATACATTCAAGTCTATCCAAATTCTACTATTTTTTCTTGAATTATAATTTTATTATTTGAGTACTTGAAGAAATTGAAAAAATTAAGGATAAAGTTTGCATTTAAAATATTTTTAAATTTTATCATATTTTATTTTTTTCATGAAATAGTAGATACTGTTATTATATAAACCCTGATAAATATTAGTACAAAAATATGAAATATATAAGTAATAATATAATTAATAGGTTGAAAAGTTACCTGATTTGATAGATATATATCCCTGGAGAACATTTTGGCCGACAAAGAAACCTTTGCTATAGTGCACAATTTCATTTGTATATTGTTCGTAAAAATTATCATTGTATGTGAGAATGCTGAAATCTGCTAGCATAATTGGATCAAATAGAAATTTTGAGAATAATAGGTTTTTATTTAAGAAGATGTTAGTGATGGAGTTAAGGGCAGTAGTTCCATTTTTTGTTTTTAAAGATATGGTTTTTGGGGTTAAGTGTTTTCTAAGAATAAATTCAACGTCTAATGTAATTAAAAATGTCACGTTTCACAATCATATTAGAAAGTTAACCACATTAATTCTAAACTAAATAATTTTATTATATTATTTACTTATCTTATCCTAATATTGACAATTGTCTTGAGCAATGTCAAGGGCTTATTATTAGGCTACCACTTGGCTTGATGTGGATATACTATATATTCATACATTTAAGTCTATCCAAATTATACTATTTTTTCTTGAATTATAATTTTATTATTTAAGTACTTGAAGAAATTGAAAAAATTAAGGATAAAGTTTGCATTTAAAATATTTTTAAATTTTATTATATTTTATTTTTTTCATGAAATAGTAGATAATGTTATTATATAAACCCTGATAAATATTGGTACAAAAATATGAAACATATAAGTAATAATATAATTAATAGGTTGAAAAGTTACCTGATTTGATAGATATATATCCCTGGAGAACATTTTGGCCGACAAAGAAGCCTTTGCTATAGTGCACAATTTCATTTGTATATTGTTCGTAAAAGTTATCATTGTATGTGAGAATGCTGAAATCTGCTAGCATAGTTAGATTAAATAAAATTTTTGAGAATAATAGGTTTTTACTTAAGAAGATGTTGGTGATGGAGTTAAGGGTAGTAGTTCCATTTTTTTTAAAGATGTGAGCTTTGGGGTTAAGTGTTTTCTAAGAATATAGTCAACGTCTAATGTAATTAAAAATGCCACGTTTCACAATCATATTAGAAAATTAACCACACTAATTCTAAACTAACTAATTTTATTATATTATTTACTTATCTTATCCTAATATTGACAATTGTCTTGAGCAATGTCAAGGGCTTATTATTAGGCTGCCACTTGGCTTGATGTGGATATTTGAAAGAAGAAATCGCATAATAATTAAATTATGATTTTAAATTTATTAAAATGATAAATAGATAATATAATATATAATATATAGATACCCCCTTTAATATAACATAAATAATATAGATTTCTTACTTCGTCCAAAATATTTGTTCTGTTGTTATTTGTATAAAATGTATCAATATTTTGATTATTTCCTTTCACCTTATATGAAATAAGCAATTACACTTTTCTTCTATTTTATTTTTAATATAAATATTTAATTTTTATATTTTTTACTTCGTCTAAAATATATGTTCCTTTATTATTTTATATAAAATATATCAATATTTTTAGAATTATTTTTCTACATTCTATGGAATAAGCAATTACAATTTTCTTCTATTTTATTTTTAATATAAAATTATGATTTTTTTTACTATGTTTCTTGTAATTGTTTTAAATTCAATTAAACATGTCTTCTATGCTTAAATTCAAATTGAAAAGAAGTAACTAATTACTAACATCACATAATGCATAATTTAACTTTTAAAAAAATTTAAATTAAAAAAAAATTAATTATTACCCAACCTAACTAACTTTGTCCTAAAATTGCCAAGTGACTTTTTATTATGTTGCCACTTGGCTTAATATGGTATCTTTGACTCTCCTATTATATATAGATAGATGTGTGGTAGATTATTCCAATTTGCACCAATTTGTATTTTTTACATACTTTTAAGTACCCCCTTCTTTTGTAACAAAATAAAAAGGATATTATTAGAAAAATTCCTATGAGTTTTTCTAATTGTCGATATTTATTTTTTGGTGAATTGTGAATTCGAATTAGTGAGGCAAACTTCAAATTATTTAAAAAAAACTTAAAAGGGTGACGTTAACATTGTCCTTAAGCCATTTGGGTCCATTTTGTTTTTCTATGGCAGCTCGCTTATTGCGACTGCACGGCCATGGCGCCGCAGGGCAGCTATATTCCATTTTCAACTCCAAATTCCTACTTCAATACTCAACAACTGCAGTTGCTACTACCTGTGACCCGACCCATTTCCTGATGAACTATCTTGTAGACTCTCTCGGATTCTCCAAAGAAGAAGCCATTACAACAAACACTAAGGTAACTCGTTTAAAACCCACTGAAAATCCTCAGCTTGTCCTAAATTTCTTCGAACAAAGTGGTTTAGACAAAACCCATATTGGTAAAATTGTGTCTGCAGTTCCCAAGTTGCTTTTGTGTGATGTTGACAAAACCCTAAAACCCAAACTTGACATTCTTCATGATCTTGGTTTATGTGGTTCTGACTTAGTCAAAGTCATAACTGGAAGTATGTCTATTTTGAAAAACACAGAAGTTTCTGACATGAAATCTTGTGTCAGTTATCTTAGAAAAGTTTTGGGTAGTGATGAGAATGTAATGAAAGCTGTTAAGAAAAAACCATGTTTGCTCTCTGTTAAAGGATGTGAAAGATTGAGGACCAATATGTTGTTTTTTCAAAGTATTGGGTTTTCAGATGAGGATATCAAGAAATTCATAGTTCAAAATCCATATACTCTTTTGGCTTGTCCTGAGAGTGTAGAGGATAAAGTGGACAGGCTTAAAAAAGATTTTAATATCTCTCAAGGGTCGGGAATGTTTATCCATGGAGTTGATGTGCTTATTTCGATGAAAAAAGCGACTATAGACACGAAACTTGGCGTTTTCAGGGATTATGGATGGTCTAAATGGGACATAATTAAATTGGTCCAGCTTTTGCCTTATTGTTTGAGGCTGTCACAGAAGAGATTGCGAGCTGCGCTAAACTTCTACATGGGAGAACTCGGTTTGAAACCTGCTTACTTGGCTTCTCATCCGACGCTGCTTATGTTTAGTATGAAAAAGAGGGTTTTGCCTCGCTTGGAACTCATGAGAAGTTTAGTGGAGAAGAAATTATACGATGAAGATTACAATCTGTATACTATTCTGTTGCCATCAGATCCGAAATTTTATCAGATTTATGTGCTGCCCTACAAGGATATGATACCTGATGTGTGTGAACTATACAACAAATTTCAACAGCATGGAAAAGCTGAAAAGTAATATGCTGCTCGAGAGAGGTTTGGTACTCCACTTTAATCTTGCAATATTGTTATCGTTAATTCTTTCTGCTACAAATCGCTGTTAGCATATACCTGTAAGGTAGTGATTTCTCTCAAATTTTGCAAGTCCTTTTGGAGTTATGTGGTAGAGGATGTTCAAGAGGCACAGTCCTCTCGATCTGTATGATGCTGTGGAAGGCTCACGAGTTTAACTTGCTGTTACTCGTATAACTCTGAACTATAGGGAAGAAAGTTCATTAGGAGCTTGAGAATCAAACAGCCAGAATACTGATTAAAAAAAAGAGAATCAGACAGCGAGAATTCCGCTGCTTTTATCCTCAAAATGTTCCTCTACCATTATCCATTCAAATGCAAAACTAGGTTCACCGGCAAGGATTCGAATTCATGACGCGTGTTTCCTAAAACAGAGTGTGATTTAGGATGGTTATTTTAGTCTTTTTGATGGTTATTTAGTCTTATCAGCCTATAGGTTATTTATCTATCAATCAGTGCCTCAATTTAAACTAGTTTGGCTTAGCTATATGATATCCATTCCATCTATAGCTTGATAGAAAATGTTCAGAAAAGTTCATTTTGAGCTCTTGACTACATAATGCTTCCTGGAAACAAAGCCTCTGAATTATTGTTTCTCTCATTTTTCTGTCTGTTTGGTAACGATAAAATCTTTTAGTTGAGTTTAACTTGACTAAGACATCATTTCTTTCATTGCTCCCTGCCTTCCCCAATTCCTCAAACAATGTGAAAAGGATAGAATAGTAGGCATCTATCAAGCTTATAGTTGCATCAAAAGAAAAGGGAAGAAGAATTAGTTGGGCTTTAACTGCTGTCCATTGAGCCTTTCTCTGGTCTCTCTTGGATTTCTCATCTAGAAAATTATCTTTAAGAGTTAAGCTGGTCTGATGCAACTAATTTAAAAAGTAGTGTATGTTTCGTTAATAGAGTACAACAACAACAACAAACTCAGTATAATCCCACAAGTGGGTCTGGAGAGGGTAGATAGTACGCAGACCTTACCCCTACAGTGAATGTAGAGAGGCTGTTTCCAGTAAATCCCCGGCACGAGGAAAAATGAGAAAAGAGCGGTAACAACAAGAAATAACGAGAACAAAATAAAAGAAAACAAGGCGAAAGAAACAACATAAAGATAGAAATCTACAATATTAGAATGCAAGACTGCTACTATTAACACTGGAAATGTTCGGAAACTCGCACCACTACTTATTAACCTACAACCTTAATCCTCGACCTCCACACCTTCCTTTTAAGGGTCATGTCCTCGATCAGCTGAAGCAAAGCCATATCTTGCCTAAGCACTTCTCTCTAATAATTTTTTGGTCTACCTCTACCTCTTCTAAGACCCCCTACTGACAACCTCTCACACCCCCTTATCGGGGCATTTGTGCTTCTCCTCTTTACATGCCCAAACCATCTAAGTCTCGCTTCCCGCATTGTGTCCTCCATGGGGCCACTCCTACCTTGGCCCGAATATCCTCATTCTTAATCTTATCAATCCTGGTATGCCCGCACATCCATCTCAACTTCCTCATTTCTGCTACTTTCATTTTCAGGACATGAGAATTCTTGACTGGCCAACACTCAACCCCATACAACATAGTCGGTCTCACTACTACTCTGTAGAACTTACCTTTAAGTTTAGAAGGCGTTTCGTTAATAGAGTATATATAGATATATTATGTGCTAAATATGATGCTCGATGTACAGTCAGACCTCTCTATAACAACATCCCTATATGACAACCAATTTTTTAAGTTATATTTTACCTCTTTATAACAACTTTTTACCTATAACACCATATTTATAGCAGAACGCTCTTTGTAAAATTACCCCTCTATAACAGTCCTATAGAATCTTTAAGATTACTAATAATAATTCTAAAAATATGCACCAATAGTTTTCATTAAACAAAGTTTCTATCATGCATAAGATATAAGATTTGAAGATTTGAGCATGATATCTTTTCCATTGGACAAATTCCAAAAAATATTTAGGTAAAAAATTTAATTGTTAAGCTCTTAGATTATCTTTAAGGGAAAGCTATTGGATACCTTTTTGCTGATTTGGACACGAATCTTCGCCAATTCAAGCATTATATCGCTAGTAAGAGAATGAAATCTACGAAATAAGCTACAATTATAAAGTCCTTCCATCAATCTTGAAAAAAATTATTTTTAGGCCGCTTATGTCTGCCTTAGAGTTTAAATATTTATACTTTTAGATATGAATCTATTAATAATGTATTAACTTTCTTCAATATATAACTAGTGAAATATGCATATCTTTTGAGATTTTAAATTTGAATAATAACAATAATTGATTTCTGGATAAATTTTTATCTATAACAGCCAAAATAAATTTAAATGCCAAATGCTGTTATAGGTGTATAACAACCATTCACTATAAAAGAAAAAAAATATCGGAACAAACAAGGCTGTAATAGAGAGGGTTGAACTGTACTACGTTTCCCTCTTCCCAATTAAGGAGCTAGGAGCATCGAATCAACAAAACTAAATCTCTGATGTTTGTTACATGTGCACACAGCTACTCTG